ACTTAAATAATAATATATGACCTGGGTGCGCACTGGCGCACACTTAGATAATAACAAGCTTGCGTGCGCGTCTTAACAGCAATATCCCAAGAGAAAAAGGGTGCTGCCCAGCATTGCTAAGTTCAAGCGGAGACTGACCATTATTATCGTTCCGAGCATGAGCATAGTTCGGCCAGACAATCCACAGTACGACGTTACCGCAACCTACCACATTGGGTGGGAACACCAAACACAGTCCAAAGTCTACTGCGTCACAGTCCACTGTTTATTATAGTCCAACATTCCGCATTGAGTGGGAACGTTGAACACAGTCCACAGTTTACCGCATCACAGTCCACTGTTTACTGTAGTCCAGCGTTACCGCATTCAGTGGGAACGCTGAACACAGTCCACAGCTTACTGCAGTCCAGCGTCACAACCCTCTCAAAATAACTCTTACTGTGCCCGGCACCACTTAGCCCTCACTTAGGGCCGATGTCGGTCACATAATAAATGGCTTTTGCTGCGACTAGCATTTGAGGGCTCCACTCAGCCTTCACTCAGGGCCAGAGAACCGCCGCACAAAGCTCGTGTGATCAGCCAAGCAAATAGCTGGTCACATAACAAAATGATGAAAATAGTTGTTGCTGTGACTAGCATTTGAGGGTTCCACTCAGCCTTCACTTAGGGCCAGAGAACCGCCGCACAAAGCTCAGAAATGGCAAGTGCTCACTCGGTGCACGGTTCAGAATAGCACAAATTTCGAAAAATGGTCCTTAATCAGGGTGCGCACTTTGCTCACAGCACAAAGTTAAGAAAAATGGCTCTCAATCAAGGTGCGCACCCTGCGCACAGTTGAGAATAGCACAGTTCAGAAAATGGCCCTTGTGAATAGCACAGTTCAGAAGTTGGCCCTTGCGAATAACACTGTCCTGAAAATGGCTTCTGTGAATAGCACTTTTTAGGAATTGGCCCTTGCGAATAGCACTGTTCTGAAAATGACCTTTAAGAGTGGTGCGCGCTGGCGCACTGTTGCAGATGGCTTTCAAGAGTGGTGCGCACTGGCGCACAATCACAAACGGTGAAAAAACTCAGTAATGGTTCTCACGGGTGGTGCTCACTGGCACACAGTTGCAAAATGACGAAAAGACTTAGATATGGCTCTCATGAGCGGTGCGCACAGACGCACAATCACAAACAACAAAAGGATTCTGATATGGTTCTCAAGAGCAGTGCGCACTGGCACACAGCCGCAAATAGCGAAAAGACTCAGATATTGTTCTCAAGAGCGGTGCGCACTGGCGCACAGTCGCAAACACTGGGTGTTGACATTCAGTTCGAACGCCTCTTGGCACTGTCAATCAGCGGACTATGATCCGGCATACTCGGTTCAAGTGCCTCTCGGCACAACCAATCAGCGGACAATAAATCAGCTTACTTAGTTCAAGTGCCTCTCGGCATGGACTATAAATCGGCTTACTCAGTTGAAGTGCCTCTCAGCACAGCCAATCAGCGGACTATAAATCGGCATACTCAGTCCAAGTGCCTCTCGGCACAGCCAATCAGCGGACTATAATTCGGTATACTTAGTTCAAGTGCCTCTCGGCACAGCCAATCAGCGGACTATAAATC